GAATTGAATTGAATTGAATTGTGTGTTTTGCCCAGGAATGCTCTAGCAGCGTCATACGGAGTACGGAGAAATATGCTCCCTACTGGCAAGGAGAAGGTAAATATTGAAGGACGACAACGAATATTTGTCATCAAAGTGAAATAAATGAGTGACTGTGCTGCGGGTTCTGGTTATTTATAACGTCTACGCACGCACACAGGGGCGTGCACGCACGCACACACCCACACGCACGCACGCACACGTATACTACACACACTCATTGCTAGACCGAATACCACGTAGTGTATCAGTCGCCATCGCAACCGACGGAAGGAGCCTAAGAAGATGATGATGCTGATGATGGTGGATGCGGTGTCCAGCCTTCTCCTCGACCACACTGACAACGAAGAAGACACCCTGTGATGCGCTACTGCAGAGCAAACTGCTAGCACGGTAGGACGCGCGTATTCGCCAATACACTATTCTGTATCAATATAGCTCATAACTATTATATAATATAATTTTAAGTCATATACTGTATTAATAATCATTATAATTTATAATAATCGTCTAGTTGTTTGTTGCCGTTGGCTATTATTTTTTTAATATATAGCGTTCTATAGCGTTTATAGACATTGCCAAAGCCGAGTATGCATAAAACGTTTGCGTATACCCCTGCTTGTACAAATATGATGTTTGTTTGAAATATATTATGTATATGATGCTTGTTGCAATAAAGGTAATGGTGTCAGGGTGCAGTATGCTGAATTAATTGTCACGACTTGGTCGTGAGTGTGGTCAATGTAAGACGATACCAATGTGAATTGATTGGTTGATGGTTGATGCCGTAACAATATATGAATATTGATACATTGGCATCAAATGCTACTACATACAGAAAGTGTGTGCGTGCGTGCGTGGGTATACAAGTATGGCAAAATTTGGATGAAACCAACCGGATATGACGAACAATAAGAATGCATAACAATAACAGTTACATTATGAATGCGGATATCATAGTTATCACATGCTAAAATAATTGCAATGATACTTAATCAGTACAGTTAAGGTATTGGTAAAGGTAGAATAAAATTAACGAATTTGCTTAACACAAAATAAACAAATAACGCTTAATGCTAAAGTAATACGTATAACATGTCAACGTGACTAGAGTAACTGTCTGCTGTAATTCTTACAAACTGTTGATACAAATGACTCTAGGTAGGAAAAGAACTTTATGTTATTTGGTTATATGATGATATAGAGGAAATGAATGAAAGCAATAGATAAGACATGCCAAATGATCTAGGGTGACATTTTAGTGTTATTAGGTGCAATATTAATACAAACAGCAGGTAATATCGCATACAGCGGAAATCATACAGAATAATTTGCGGAAGAGAAAAAGCCATGATAAGAAAGCAGACATCATAAGCATTACATTCTAATTTGGTTACTATGATATTCTAGTATATTAATTAGATGACAAAAATTAAGAAATTACACACTAGCGCCGCCAAACGTCGATAAATATAATAAAAAATAAGTTAAATACAGACTAATAATACGTAACAGGAACAGCCAAGATTAAAGAAACAGCATAACATGCATTATACATTAATTGATTGTGTACTATAAAGTTACATTACATATAGGATATATAACGCAATTATGAAAAAACAGCCAGATATGAAAGCGGAAATGATACAGAATAATAATAGATAACAGAAACAGCCAAGATAAAAAAAAGCAGACATAACCAGCGTTACATTATAAATGGATTACATGTACTATAATATTCTAGCACAATTAGATGACAAATTAACAAAAATCACGCATAAGCAACGCCGAGCGTCGATAAACGTATTGAAGAAAAGTTGCGAATACAGTTGTATATACATTATTATAAAGTTATATTACGTAAGGTATATATGACGCAATTAGGAAAAAGCAGCCAGATATGATTGCGGAAATAATACAGAATATTGCGTAATAGGAACAGCCAAGGTAAGAATGCAGATGTGCAGAATTGCAGATGTGCAGGATTAAGCTTTACATTATAAAATTATTACTTTGATATTATAGTACTGTAGTATTAGTATATAGTATTAGCGCGGTACTGTAGTAGGCCTATTAGTATTGTCATGTTACATATCAAATCATGCGAGAGTGCTTTCTGTTTTAAATAAATAATTTTAACAGAATAGTGCGTATTTCGTTTGCCGTCACACACGTTTTCCATATACGGCACTAGGCACGATCAGCGGCATATAATTTCATTCGTCGTTGTCACCGGGGATCAAAACATTGCAATCCAGAGCGTCTTAAAATATACAATTAAAGTGAGGCATTAAGATAGTAAGTTCTCACATCAATTTGGTCAAGAGTCATTAATCTCCATTTAAATGCACAATTTCAAGAAAAATTGTATTGATTTTAGCAGATAGCAGGTATGCGCACACAGAGACATGGCGCTATGCCACGTTGCATGAAATATAAAAAGGGCACTGAACAGATGCCATTGTAAACGTGTAGCATTAAATTTGTTATTTTTATGTCAAATTTATTAAAGGAAAATTTTAAAAGCCAGGGACCGAGTTTTAGAATCGCAAAGCGATGGTTACGGCGTAACATACCAAAGGAACGAGACGCTATCGTACAAATATAATCAATGTGGGCATTCCAGCGAAAGCCGCTACTAATAATGACACCCTAAGATTTGAAAGTAGGTGGTAATAGATAGGTGGTAATTCGCATTAGCCGCTCTTACTCAGTATTCACCCGTGACTTTTACTTACTCGCTGTAACATAATGCGAATAATACCACCATACTCACCATACTTATTAATGTAGCGCTGTAAAGAACTGCGTCGTCAGCAAACAGGCGAATAGAAGTAGAAGAGTCAGTTTCGGCCAACAAATCATTTATAAAGGACGAGAACAACAATGGACTAAGCGACCGATGGAGACGTGTGAAAACTTACGCGTTAAAAATGGGTTGGTGTATGACTGGGAAAGATGTGCATGGTAAAATCCGCTCTATAAATTTCACTTTGGCAGCAGCATTCCGCCACAATCCTTTCCCTATGCCAAATTAATGTACCCCTACATCGAAATGGCGCTCGCGTTGCTGGTAGGGTTGCCATCCAAGATCATTTCTTTCGGTCAAACTCATGCACTCAAAATTGGCACACACATACCCACTGAAAATCCATGGAAAAATCCGCCCTAGAAATTTCACTTTCGCCGTACCACCCTCCTTTCCGAATGCTTGTATGTCGGCATGTGTCATTTTCATTGGATGCCAGGTTGCCGACATGTCCGCGCCCTATCTATATACATTAGTATAACAATAGACCTAAGGTAGGGCAGTGCCGCCACATCGAAGTAGCGAAGTCTCGATTTAGAGGTATACAGTAGGCTTCAGTAGGCCCACAACCCTCATTTTCGAATGCTTAACGTCGTCCTGACTGTCAAGGGCGTACATTAAACAAGCAAAAACAAAACTGTTGCGTTAAACTTCTCACGAATTCGCGTGACATTGATATAACTCCCGTTCCTAGACGTTGAACGGCAAAAACTGAGTCTGCACGCCACGGCTACACGGGAAAAACTTCTAGCGGCGCGATCATATTGCTATAACGCATCAACTACGACGATCTTACTACACGACACGCACGCACATGCACGCGCACACGCACACGCACACAACATCTCGAATACGTCTACGCGCACGCACACACTCATATTCACATGCGCACGCACGCACGCATATTCACACGCACACGCTCGCACGCATATTCACACGCACTCGCACATACGTATATTCACATCATCACATGCACACGCACACGGGCATATCATCTGAAGCACTAGAATGCGCAGCTGAACCCCGCTGGGGGAGCTCACAGCGCCCCCTCGATACACCATCCCTTCTCGTTGGTACTTTTTGCATCCCCAGCCCCCACACACACCCTTGGCCCATTCCTAGGCCCCGCTAATCCCGCCAACACGCATCTGCTGCTCATGCGACTGCTACAGACACACAGCGCTCTCAAGCCATCTTCTTTATGTACGTGCTAACTCCGCTTTGCGCTCCTGCACACCATATGGTCCGATGTAACCCGATAGATCGGCTGAAGACACGACTTCGCGGGGCGTTGCTAATAGAGACGCCACGGGGAGAGACGGCCTGGTTCCCGAGATGTCTAACAGCGCCATCTACCGATTAACACTGCCGCTCCAAAGCGAAAGGGTGACAAGCGCATGACTAAACGTGATCTAACATAGCAGCAATTAACATACATATCATTATCATAACACATCACAGGACGTTATAAACGAGGCGATCTAGATGGGATGCGTAGTAATTACTGCGTTGAATTCTCTGAATTTGAGACATCGGCGGAAAGGAATATGAGGCATCAAACTGAATGAATCTCGATTTCCGAGATACGATATGGCAAGCGAATCATAACACTCTACTCGGTGGAGTTAATAAGTTAACACAGAATCTTAATGATTTCCATGCGAAGAACGTCGAAATCTCAAGGAATCCCGATTCCCAACCTCCCACCCGCGTCCCGCGCAAAAACCCTCCTCTCTTCCCCCCGGAGCCCATCCTCCTCCTAACCGCTGCTTCCATCCACGCTGGGGCGTGTATATACAAACCTTCTTACATAACTGGATCTGCCGACCATCTCACGTACGTACGTATACGCATACGCCGCTGCTAGTACTGGTGACGTGGCATACACATATACACACACGGACAAGCTCTCCACCTCGCGCCTCCATCTTTATTCTCCCTTTTCAAAACTCATCTTCGTCTCCGTTCTTCCGTTGTAGGAAATTGCGACCATGATGAGATACGTGGTGTTGATCTGCGCGCTGGCCGCGTGCGTGGCGTGGGCTGCAGAGCACGAGAACTGCGGTGAGTGCGACAGAGAGAAGTGTCCGCGTCTAACTGAAGCCAACTGCACGACGGGACTCGTGCACGACAAGTGTCAGTGCTGCTTCGCGTGCGGCCGTGAGGAGGGACAGTTGTGCAACAACCGCGACGAGAAGTGCGGCGAAGACCTCGAGTGTACCTTCAGGTATGTATGCGTACGAACGCACGCACGCACGCACGCACATGAACTTTACATGTGCAAACGCATATACACAAATAACGTAGTTTAAAAACTGTAATTAAAAAAACGTGTATAACAAACGTTGCGTGGACTCGCCTGCGAGCGCACGTACGCACGCACGCACGCATGCGATACGCACGTGAAATTTATGCGAAGAATAAATTGCTCTATAAGGCGGGTTTGCCACGTCTTCAGCTAAACGAGGTCACCCCTGTTCCAAAAATATCCGTGTTTACATCTAAATTTACATTCGAGCGAAGCGGCAAGTCGAAACTTTTTCGAACGAGGGCAGTAGAAACTTTGATAATGTCATTTATATAGATATATGATATATATATATATATATATTTACTATTATAGTCCATATATATATCAGGAGTAGTAAAGGGACCGGCTTGTATTCTACTCCTTGATAATTATATATAACTATCTATATATTATGTATATATATATTATATCGCAAGAGCTATAATGAAAATTTGTCATTCTTAGCCCTGATATTGGGTTAATGAGACAGAATGTCTCATCATTAATCCTGAGAGTAGTAGTGTTATATATTTATTTATTATATACATGGGACTAGTTGCTGATAGAGGCGAGAGAGAGAGAGAAGAGAGAGATGAGAGAGAGAGAGAGGAGAGAGAGAGAGAGAGAGCGTGTGTGTGTGTGATGTGTGTGTGTGTGTTGTGTGTGCGTGGGGTGGGAGGCGTGCGTGCCGTTCGTGTCGTGGAGTGGGGTGGTGCGTGTGTTTTGTGTGTGTGGTGTGTGTGTGTGTGTGTGCGTACGTGCGTGCGTGCGTGGTTGTGGAGTAAGAGATCGTATATGATACTGAGACGAAAGGGGACCGAGGTGTTATGAGACTTGACATGCGCCGCCCTTCGCTAAGCCGGGGCGCCACGTGCGATTTTTATGCGCGGTCGTCTCAAATACTGGCTATAAAGCTCATCTCAACTATATTAGCAGACGCCTGTTGGTTGTCAGCTGCTGCCATATATATGAACTCAGACGCCGCGACTAGTTTAAACGAATGGTCAATTTCGCTCTCGGATATATGATTGGCGTTTATGACTGACATTTATCACATAGTTTTATCCACAGAATTCCCATTGGTTAAGCGTTTGTGGGGTGTGTTCTGGTGCCTTTCCCTCGATTGACGACGTACCGCTCCTCTCCCTATTTTTCACCCTATCATGCATACTTTTCTCAGTATATATCCACTCCCTTCGCTTGTCTCCCCCACCATCATTTCTCTCCCTTTTCCTTTTCTGCTTTTCACATTTAATCGGCGCTTCCACTTTTAACCCTCTTTGTTATTCCTGCACGTTTTCTCACCTATAGCGCCATCTATTTCCCAGGGATATATTTGTACACGTAAGACTCTTATTATCTTTTGTCACTCTTTCTCTCTCTTTCTTTCTTCTTCTCTCTTCTCTCTCATCTCCCTCTCTCTCGGCTCAGGCTCTCTCCGACACATTGCTCCACTCTTTTTGTGTCTTTCTCATTTAGCCACTTTTCATTCTCTTCGTTTTCATTCCTCTCCACTATGTTTTTTTCACTCCCCTCTTCTCGGCTTTCTTTCTCTTCACCTATGTATTTTATTCACTCCCCTCCTCGCTATCTTTTCTCTCAAGTGTTATGTTTTCTTCACTTCCTCTTCCCACTCTCTATCTCTCTCTCTCTCATATCGTGCTAAACTTATCTATACTATGCGTGGTTTTGGCAGGGAGGGCCCGGCGCTTAGTATTGAATCGAGCCGAGGGGGCAGAGTGCGTAGAGTGTCGTAGAGGCGGAGCCTCTGTGTGGCCGAAGACGGAGTACTTTCCGCTCACTGTGTCAGATTGATGGCCGGTCATTCGCGCACACGACGATAGCCTCAGAGAGGGGCTAACGTGCCGGCCGGCTACGTAACGACGGAGCGCGACGCACGCCGCATCGCAGCAGGCAGTGCAACGCAGCACGCAAGCACGCACGCGGCGCCCACACACACATCGAGGACGCGCGACACGCAGCACGCAGCGCGCACAGCACCTTCGAAACACGACCCACGCACGCGAGCACACACGCAGACGAGGAGTGCGCGGCACAACACATACGCACCGCACCACGCAGCACGCACGCACAACACGCAAGCGCCGGCGCAACGCCACCACGGCACGCGCACGCGGCACAGCACCACGCACAACCACCATACCATAAAAAACACGCCACAAATTCCCTAACAAGAACATACCTCAGCACACCCAGACATACATACACCGCCGCATGCGCGCGCTGCAACAAACATCTACTCTAACACCGCACATACGATAATTAGGGGCGAGGGTATTCTCGACAGTATCGTGAAGCTTTTTCCCTATGACGTGTGCTTCTCGACTTCCGCGGTTCCAGTGCGTTCCGTCGACGTGGGGGAAAAAAAAGAAAAAAAAGACATGGTCGTCGATGCTGGGGCGACGAGCTGAATGCTGCATGTGAGAGGGGGGGGGGGCGACGGCTCCGATACTGTGTCGGCTGGCGTACACCACGGCGCGCTGGTCCTTCTCAACGTACCAGGTATATATGATTTATACACCGAGTTACAAACTGTTATATTATAATGTTCAGGGAGTAGATATTCTATTAATGCTTCCTCCTCTAGTATATATATTTTATTATAGTATATTAATATATTTAGTAATTACTACGAATTTTCTATGTAAAAATTGTAAATTTTTGTTGCAGTTTTTGGTACTTAAAAGTAGACTAACGGGACTAAAGTATGCGTAAATGTACAGTGATAGATTGTTTTCAGCCTAGTTAAATTCGAAAAACTGGACGATTTGAATATTAGTGTTCCTAATTTAGGATTGCTTGCTTGGACTATGTATGGTCCGAGTGTTGTTCACATTAACAATATGGTAATAAGAAGTATATGGCAGCAATTTAACAAAAAGTGAACATAGTATTTTTTTAATATTTACGGTGGTATCATTTAATTATATAATATTATATTTGTATGTGTATATGTCTATATCATTCGGGTTGCGCTATTTTCAATCGTACTCCTCTCCTCTCTCCTCTCTCTTCTTACGCGCTCTTCTTTCGCGATCCTCTCTGTTTCCCCATATTTATTATTATGTTATATATATATATATATTATATATATGTATATAAATATATGCCTTATTTATTGGCAGGACATATTTACTTGTGGATGAGGTTGGATTTAACTTTGTGAATCGGTTTTCTTATCTTCCCGCATTATGTCACTGAACAGTCCTATGCATGACAATTCCTCATGCTACCTCTCCCCCCCCCCACACACCAATACCAAGTTTTAAGCTGGACTCAGTTATAGCTCTACACTCAACTCATGGTGTATACACTAAATGTGGCTAAGGTCATAAAATATATAAATATAAATGAGCGTAAGGGATTAGAAACTTATAAATATAGAAGCAAGATTTATCTTTGCGATCCTGATGGTATGCAGGTGGTTTTATTTTCCAAACGCCATCTCTTGTTCCGTATCGCAGACAGTCGCTGGAACTGATTCCTCCAGGGAATTTGTTCAGATGCGTCCATGCAGCTAAGTACGGCAGCATGTACGAATGATACGTATATTTCCACTGCATCTTCATCTCCATCCTCTTTTCCTGCTTAAACTACTCTTCTTCCCTTCCTGGGTTCTTCGTTTTATTCTTCATTCTTCTCTTCATGCCTCTTCACTTTTCATCATTCACGCTATTCTTTTGCGATACTTCCTTCGTTTTTTGTTTTCATTCCCGTTCTATTTTTATCTCATGCCTGCTCCTATATCTTATCAATCTTTGTCTTTTATCCATACTTTCCTACGTCTTCCATTTACTCAATATCAGCCCTCCTCCCCTCTTCCTCGCATGCTCATCCCTTCCAGCCCTCTCACTACCTCGCTCATCATCGGCCCTTCTTCAGCCTCCTCTCCATCTACCTCCGACTATCTCATACCCTCCACTCCCTCTCCCTCCTGACCGGTTCTGATCCGTTGTGATTTTGATAGCATTTTTTCTTCGTCTGCAGATTCGACAGACCACATGGCGATCCAGGCGCCGCGCTGGTTCCGAAGGCTGAGGTGGCCTGGTTGCAGTGGCTGTCGCCGCCCTCGCGAGATGGAGAGTATAACTGATTCGCTCGATAACGGCTCGGTAGTACAGGACTTGAAGGTCGCCGTCAAGGCGCAGTGGAGTAGCAGCGATATTTAAGTAGAATGTTATATATGTCTTTCTATAGCGAAGAGAGAGAGAGGGGGGAGATGGAGAGGAGAAGGAGGGGGAGATGGAGAGAGAGGAGGGGAGATGGAGAGCAGAGAAGTGGAGATGGAGAAGAGGGGGGAGATGGATGACAGAGAGGGGAGGATGAGAGCAGAGGGGGGAGGATGGGGAGAGAGGGATGGACGAGAGGGGAGATGGAGAAGAGAGGGCGATGGGACACGAGAGGGGGAGATCGACGAGAGGGGAGATGGCAGAAGAGGGGGGAGATTGGAGACAGAGGATCTGGAACGAAAGGGGGAGATGTGAAGACAGGAGAGGGGGAGATGGAGACGAGAGGGGGAGATGGGACAGAGAGGGGGAGATGGAGACCAGAGAGGGGGGATGAAGACAGAGAGGGGGAGAGTGGAGACGAGAGGAGGAGATGGAGACAGAGAGGGGAGATGGAGACAGAGAAGGGGGGATGGGCCGTAGGGGGGGATGGAGAAGCGAAGAGGGGGAGAGTGGTTGAGAGAGGGGGATGGATGACAGAGGGGGAGATTGGAGACAGAGGGGGGAGAGTGGAGACAGAGAGGGGAGATGGGAGAGAGAGAGGGGGAATGGAGACGAGAGGGGGAGATGAGACAGAGCAGGGGGAGAATGGAGCAGAGAAGGGGGATGAGAGCGAGAGGAGGAAGATAGCAGAGTAGGGGGAGATGGAGACAGAGAGGGGGAGAATGGGAGACAGAGAGGAGGAGATGGAGGACGAGAGGGGGAGATGGGACAGAGGGGGGGAGATGGGAAAGAGGAGATGGAACAGAGAAGGGGAGATGAGACAGAGGGGGATAGATTGAGACAGAGGAGGGGAGAGGAGACAGAAGGGGGGAGATGGAGCAGAGGAGGGGAGAGGAGTCAAGAGGGGGAGATGGAGAGCAGAGAGGGGGAGAGCGAGAGAGAGAGAACGCTCTCTCTCTCTCTCTCTCTCTCTCTCTCTCTCTCCTCTGCTTTTCTGGCTCTCATTCTCGTCTCTTCTTTCTCTCTCTCTTCTCTCCTCTCTCGTCTCTCTCTCTCTCTCATGGTGGTGTGTGGTGTGTGTGTGTGTGTGTGTGATGTGTGTGTGTGTGCGTGTGTTGTGTGTTGTATGTGTGTGTGTGTGTGTGTGTGTGTTGTGGCGTGCTTGTGTGTGTGTGTGTGTGTGTGTGGGCATGCGTGCGTGCGTGCGTGCATGCGCGCGCGTGTGTGTGAGAGAGAGAGAGAGAGCGAGAGGGAGACAGCGAGAAAGAGAGAGCCTCGGTAATAGATGAGCTATTTGGATGTTGCCATGTGCCGAACGTGTATAGTCAACCGATCACAAAATGCAATCGTAAATGCATTCATGCAGTTATCGATGTAACAGAGCCCATTGTGAAATACATCATTAATGGTTATGACATTATTAGTTTAAAATAGCATAGTTTTGGGGCTGAAAAGCGCCGTGCAAGTGTTAAGACGTTTTCGACTCACGATAGTAGCAACTATTTATGTATGATGTATGTGTTCTTGTTGAACTGGCGGCAGAATGGCAAGTAATGCCGTCCGCGCAGGGCCCTATGTTCGTACTAAGTTTCTGTCCGCCCACTTAGAGTAGTTTCATCATGGCCCCCAGCGAGTGAATATAAAAGTCCGTACTTGTATCTGTGAATAGGACGCACTACGAATGCTAAAACAGTCCTCAGCCACATCAACGCGATTTATTCATGCAATATGGCAGCAACCTTTTTCAGAGTCGATCATGGAGTGTTATGCCTCAGTATCATGTAACTTTGTTGCTCTGGTTTCTATAACAGCGTGGTTTCGTCACGGCGCGGTTCGGCTTCACACATCGGAGCGATTCATTAATTCACGTATAATATGGCGGCCATGTTTCAGATTCGATTGATGAGAAGACACAGAACGACGATCTGTAGACGTGTTAGCTGCGGGCTAAACCACCAACACGCGACCCTACTTCCACGGAGCAACTGCCCTATATACAGGAAGCAGATATTTTAGCTAGTAAGAAGAAACGCGTGTATAATAATCTCAAGGCTAATTACCACCCGAGAGTAGGACTACTGTCGTAGCTGAGTTGTCAATCAAGTAAATATATGATTTCACGTGTGTATGCAATTATTGACGCCAAGCGTAGAATAACATGAGTATATATGGTCGTTATAAATAGAGACAAAGTAGGACTAGTTACTTGAGAAAACAAGCAAATAAATTTCCCTTGAGCTATCGAATTCAGATCTGTTTGGTATAGAATACTTATGTATTTGATATTTGGCTTGTATAATATTTGATTTGTTTATATATGTATACACTTTTATACACGATTGCCCGAAATAGATTTTTAAATAAGTTTGAAAATATGAATACTAGTGTGAAATGTAAAAGTTGAATGAGCAGCGCCACCTAGTGTCAACCTCGGTTAGATGGTCATACAGCTTCGATGAACTATAAATCACGCGCAGGGAGCATTGGTGCGTAAATCACATCATTGTATGGAATTTATATACAGTTTTACGTCTAATAATAATGATATTTCCGATACATAACAATAAAAACGACGATGTATTGGAAAAAGACCTGTCTTAATTGGCAATAGAATTCAGAATGTACATCACAATATGAATGTTCTCTGTCTGTCTGTTTGTCTGTCTCTCTCTCTCTCTCTCTCTCTCTCTCTCTCTCTCTCTCTCT